AAAAAGTTTACCTGTTAAAAATAAATATTTTTTATTTTTAGTTTCAAACACAATAAGGACAATGAAAATTCTAAATTAAATAATTCACAAGATATTAATGGTAATAAAAATAGCGACTTATGTAAAAAAACATCTTTAATAGAAACATTTATATATTTAATTTTTCAAATAATGTTTATCTTTCTATAAAAATGTCTATATTTTTCAGATAATATCTTAACAGAATATAACATTGATAATGTACCAATTACAATCTACAATGAAAATACTACAGACTTAAATTTTATACAAGACTTGAAAACGATACTGAACAATATTGAAACTGAAATAACAAATATAAGGGAAACGCAATCATTAGCAATCACTTTCAGAAATTAAAGAAACCACAAAATTGATTTTAGCTAAAATAAATAGTGAACAATATGGCAAAGAATATTATATGCTAAAGGATGATAAAATAAAACAAAAATTTCCCTTAACTTCTATTCAAAATCTTCTTGATTTTGATGATATATTAAAAAATGATCAAGAAGCTTTTATGCAAGTAGTAAGTGAATTCGTTTATCAATAAATTATATAAACATAGTTTTAATTTTAAACATTTTTTAGAATAAAATATTACAAATTGGTGGGAAAAATGAAAAAGACTTCGTTAGAAGAAGAGCTTTAGCTGCAACATTTGATGATAATTTGGCCTGTATGTGTTCGTGGACGGGACAGAAAAATAATTTCAAGATAGGAGATACTCATATTATGCTAAGTATAAAAAGTAAATAAATTTATAATATGTTGGTAATAAAGTTTTCATGATGAACGGCGGAGCCGTCAGCTGGGAGTCAAAAAAGCAACAGACCGTTGCTCTATCATCGACCGAGGCGGAATATATGGCCTTATTGGAAGCAACCAAAGAGGCCCTGTACATGAAAAGGCTATTCAAGGAACTCGGAGTGGATCTAACCAGCGTCGTTATCAAAAACGATAACGTCGGTGCCCAGCAGCTGGCAATAAATCCCATCCATCATGAACGCTCTAAGCATATTGATATTCGGCACCATTTCGTGCGTGACGCCGTCAAGGAGAAGCTAGTTCTCATCCAACATGTGTCTTCCGACGAGATGACAGCGGACATTCTTACCAAAGGATTACCAAGGGGAAGACAGTGTTCAGCTGAAAACTGCGTTCAACTCCTTGGGCTTAAATCTATCAATTAGATGAGGTCGATTCCTCATTGCGGTTCGAGGGGAAGTGTTGGTAATAAAGATCTATATACCATGCGACCCGCAATGAACTCTTATGGATTATCTATCGGCGGAGTCGCCCGTGTCGTGCTTTTAGATGGCGCGACTCACATCCGGAAGTTTTTCGCTATAGAAGTCTCTTGTCTCACTTCCGTCTTCTTCCTCCGTCGACCTTTTGTTCTGTCCGCGCCGCAATACGCACTTTGTAAACCAATCGACGGTCTCATTTTGTAGTATACCGAATAAAGTGTACGGTAAAATATACGCACGTGTCTTGTGCTCTACGTCACCTTCTCGTACTCTATCATAATACATATTGGTTGTGGTATCAGAATCTGTAATTGTTTTTTTATATTTCTAATTTTTTTACAATTAACGGATGAACGGATGAACGGATGAACGGGATATTGAGAAAAGCCTATAGAACTTTATGCTACATATATAACATAAAAGTTTTTCCAGAAGCGTTTAAGGTAAATTTCCCCGAAGTACGGAAAAAGATTTCGAACAATTGATGATGGAATGGTTTCGTTTTGTAAACGTCCGTAAGACGACCAAAAGAAAGAAAGTATGTTAAATCCAGACATTATCATTTCTCTTAACAGTTTCTCTGTGTTAATTAATTACTTCAAATATTCTTACAAATGTATATTACATGAACTAAAATTGGATTATTATAAGTTTTTCACTAATTGAATTTTATATTTTCCAGAAAAAGAAAAGTGAGAAGAAATGTTATAATTATAAGATATAAATATAGAATTAAAATATTTAATTTAAATTATATTTTATATTATTATATTTAAAGTAGTCTTCAAAGAAGTGCAATGAGATAAATATAAGTTTGATTTCAGTGCAATGAGGCAAATATAAGTTTGATTTATAATATTTTATTACATTTTATATATTTTGTTAATATTTTATGTTTTTGAATATTTTTTAGTTTGATATATTTTTTATTTTTTGTTTCTCAGTATTTTTTTATATTTTGAGGTATCGAGAAAGTATCTCATTTTATAATACATGTTTTGTATTTAATTATATAGAAATAAAAAAATATTTTCTTGTACTTTATATGTATATATATTTGTATTATTATTCCTTATTAAACGATAAAAATAATATTTAGAAATACAAAAATACAATATATATTTAGACATTCTATTAATATTGAAAAATTATTGAAAACACACACACACACACGCGCGTTATATATAATATTTATAAAATAATAAAAATCAATTAAATTAATATTAGAATTAATATTACTGTGATATTAATATTAAGTTATGTAGATGTTGATAATAATGTTCCCAGTAAGCAAAATGTTAGCAGTCTGCCAGCAGCATGCGAGCAGATTCGAACAGAATATTGCGGCAGATTGGCATCAATTGCGTCCGCATTAAGCTTGAGTTCTGCTAGCAGAATCTGTCAGCATAAACCGACAGCAGATTGACAGCAGAAATCGAGCAGGATCTGCGCGTGCAATTTGATGTTAGATTGTCAGCAGAAACCGAACAGAATCTGCGCATGCAACCTGATGGCAAATTGACAGCAGAAACTTCACAAGATTTGCGCTTACTTTTATTAATGTTATATAAATGCAACAAAATTGATTATTACAAGTGCTAAATAACAATATTATCGGCAAGTTAATTAGAATTTTCTTAGAAAATAACATATATGTAATATCGTAGTTATATCTCATATAGCGAAGGACTAATTCAATTTAATTAAATTAATAATAAAGTAAATGATAAAAGTAAATGTAACTTGTAAAACTTGAGATGTAATTTATTATATTTAGAATTAAATTCTTGCTTTATACCTCATCAAATAGGCAGTACATGAATAATTTTTCATTTATCATATTGATTCCAATCAGTTTAATATTCTGACTCTCATTTGCTTGTATCAAAGATCAGAAATTAAAGTAATAGAAATTAAAATGATAATTACTAAATTTTTAGTCTTTTATCCATATTCGCGACTTTATATATATTTCTGACAGAAATTCAATTACGAGAAAGTACAGCTCACGTAGCGGTAAATGAAGGAACTATCGAATCATGCAAACCCTGTTTCATTTCTGCCATCAATCTGCTATCAGAGATTGTATGCACAGATCCTGCTCGATTTTTGCCGACAATCTGTTGTCAAATTGCATCGCACAGATCCTGTTCAATTTCTGCCACTAAGTAATGCGGCAGCATCTGTTTGATTTTTGCCAATCTGGTGACTGATTATGTTAACAAGCTTTGTTATATTTCTGTTCACATTCTGCCGACAACACATGATATATCAGAACCTGCATCGATTCTGTAATCTTTCTGTCGATAACAATTTGTAACAGATTCCCTGACAAGATCTGCTTTAGCAGACTTGGCTATTGGGGTTATTTTATTATTGATTTAACTTTATGAGAAACATTATCAGAATGTTAAAACAACATTAATGCAATATTACTTGTAACGACATAGAAAATGTTATTTCAACATTACCGAAACCTCTAAATCGGTATCAAAGTTTGTTCATAATGATGTTGCATACAATGTTAAAAACTACATACTTGACAACATTACTATGTTAGTGAATATCATTATAATAACGTTGTGGTAATAATTTTTTGCTTACTGGGTTATTTGTCTAGGGGTTGTTAAAAAACTATTTATGTTATGGGTTTATGGAAATCCACCAAGAAAATTGTTATATAATCAAATATCAAATATTTCTAAGTCATTAGTTGATCTAAAATGTAATATAACGATAGACTTTAATCGTAAACCTCGTAGTCTCAATGAAGTCAAGCGTTGGAAAGCAACAGAATTTCGACAGTTTCTTTTATATACAGGCCCCATAGTTCTTAAATCTGTTATTAGTCATGATAGATATGTAAATTTTTTATCTCTACACGTAGCCACTTGTATTTTATGCAAATTCTAAAAAGTATATAAATTATGCAAAATCCCTAATGAAATATTTTGTCAAAACATTTATAATTTTATATGGTAAAGATCAGGTCTCTTACAACGTACATAATTTGTTACACATTTGTGATGATGTTGCAAGATTTGGAACATTAGATCAATTTGGTGCATTTATATTTGAGAATTATTAACAGTCTCTAAAAAAATTATTAAGAAAACCAGAAAAATCATTAGAACAAATAATTCGCCGTAAATATGAATTAAATAATTGTATACCGTTAGGCAATAATCGATTGCATTCTTTGCCAATTCTGAAGAAACAACATAAAGTACCAATAATTAATAACATTTCTTTTGTACAATATGAAGAAATAATTGTAAATAAATTCATATTAAGAATAACTGATCCAGACAATTGTTGTTACACAATTAATAATAAAATAATAAATATAAAAAATATTGTTTCTACCACTGATAGCATATTATTAATTGCCCAAGAATTTTTATTATTTGAAGATTTCTATACAAAACCTTGTAATCATCATTTTTAAATATATATGCTGCTAAAGATTTAGGGCCTCTTACATTTATGCGACTCGATCAAATATGTAACAAATGTATGAAATTATCTTTTAAATTATACATGTAATATTTCCGTTACTACATTCACAATCAGAGAAATAAAATACGATTTTTTTTAGTATATAATGTATAATTACTTTATATAATATAATTACTTTTTACTTAAAGATTCTAAGTAAATAATAATTACAAGTAACAACTTGCTTTTCAATTTTTTCTTACAGATTCTCTGTTCAAATAATTTATTGTGTATGTATTGTATATAATATTCTTATACAATTTGCGTATACAACGTGAGTATATTTATCACAAAGAAATGGAGAAAATATGGACAGTTGTAAGATTTGAAGATGAAAATGTTGTCGAAGCGGTGTCAACAAGTTGGATTACTAACGGCAGATGTTATTGGCCACCATATACAACAGAAAAAACTTTAAAAGCAATAAAAGATCATGTTGATTTTAATTCTTCATGGGCGAACTATGAAGTATATGTCTTTAAAAATAGTACCTCCGGAAACGATATATTATTATAATACAACTCTCTATTATACAACATATCCCGTACAGCATATAATATTACTTAAAAACAAACTTAATTTTATCTGTTTCATTTGCATTTTCTTTCCTCAAAACTTTTATTTTTCTTCGCAACATTCTTTTATTTCTCAAAAGAAAAATATTTTTGCAATATTGCAGCAGTATTTCTGAAATATGGTTGATATATTCTGTAATATTATGTATTATATGGAATATTATACAATATTGAATAATTTTATTAGTAAATTAAATACTTAAAAACTTATAATTTTTTTCAGAAAGTTATCAAGTGTGTAGACTGAAAGCTAAAAAAGCTGAGGATACATCAGATTCAAATTCAGATTACAGTAAAAAACGAATAATTAAAAAGAACTGTTTATATGAGAGCGATAGTTCTGAATCTGATAAATATAATGATATGACATTGCCATCTCCACTAGGTATGATTAGTTATTTCTATTATATTTACTGCTTCGTACATACACACACACACGCGCAAGCACACACGCACACGCACACACACATATATATATATATATATATACAGGGTTGGGCAAAAGTCCGGAAACGGTCAAATATCTCGAAAAGGATCAACTATAGCGAAAAATTGTAAATAGCAAAGTTGTAGGGCTTAAAAAAATGTACCTAATGATGACTAAAAATTTTACTTTGAGTGGAGGACGAAGATCATATAAAAGTCAAATTGAATTTTTTAAATGGAACTGCCTACTTTTTATTGCATATTCTTATAGCTGACCTCGAGAGCTTTCCAAAACACTATAATAAAATATTTTTCCCTCAAGCATTTATCGAGTTATGAGGCTTCAAATCATTTCTTAATTTTACATAAACCGTAAAATATCTTGTAAAATATTCACTTTTCGATTATTTTACCTTAATACTTTTATGTACAAAATAATGAGAGGAATCAATTGGTCTAAAAAAAAACACATAATTGTTCCGAAGAAAAAATATGTAATTTGCAATTAACAATTACATATTTTTTCTTCGGAACAATTATGTGTTTTTTTTTAGACCAATTGATTCCTCTCATTATTTTGTACATAAAAGTATTAAGGTAAAATAATCGAAAAGTGAATATTTTACAAGATATTTTACGGTTTATGTAAAATTAAGAAATGATTTGAAGCCTCATAACTCGATAAATGCTTGAGGGAAAAATATTTTATTATAGTGTTTTGGAAAGCTCTCGAGGTCAGCTATAAGAATATGCAATAAAAAGTAGGCAGTTCCATTTAAAAAATTCAATTTGACTTTTATATGATCTTCGTCCTCCACTCAAAGTAAAATTTTTAGTCATCATTAGGTACATTTTTTTAAGCCCTACAACTTTGCTATTTACAATTTTTCGCTATAGTTGATCCTTTTCGAGATATTTGACCGTTTCCGGACTTTTGCCCAACCCTGTATATATATATATATATATATATATATATATATATATGTTTTTTTTTAAACACTCAAAAATCGATTTTTTCATAATGCTTTTGTATCATTAGATTATTTGACATTTGAGAAATGAAGATAAATATATGTTGATTTTTTAAAAATTAAAATATAATAATGTATTTTATTTTCTAGATTTAAAAGAACATTCTGATACAGAAATCCAAATATCAAGTAAGTTTTTTTTTATTGTTTTGTAATATATGGCTTATAAAAGCAAATTATTTTATTAATATTATATAATCATATGTAATTATTAATTGATATTAAATCAAATATAAATGAGAAGAAAGAACATATTTTCACAATATTTTTTAAAACATTAGTCTGAAAAACGAAAGATGTTCGATTTCTGATTTAGTTCTGATCCACGCTTGTTTTTTTTTCGCTTATTTTTCTATTATCTTTATTCCGTATTTTTTTCTTATTTCTATTTTAGTTTGGAGTTCTTAGAAATATTAGATCTTAATTAAGGATTATTTTTATAATTTAGATATTTAATTTAGATATTTAATTTAGATATTTAGATATTTACAAAAATTTTATTTCTATATATTCAACAACTTACATTGATTTCTATGTTCTTTCTTTTTACTTATATTTGATTTATTATTAAAAAAGCCTATAATATATTTAATTAATTTGGAAATGTATTATTATTATTATTATTTTATTATGTATAATTATTTTAATATCTGTTTATTTTTCAGAGGATTTTTCTAGAACTAAAAAAGTATACACATGAGTTGGAGAGAATCCACAAAGAAAGAATACACAAAAAGGTATTTTCGACACAAACCTTTCATTTAAAAATAGTTTGCAAATGTTTACTGATAAGAAATAATTATGGACTGTCGTTTTATTTAATTGTGATCTGTATTTTTTAGATATAACATGTGTCTCTTTCAATAATAATAATAACATTTCGGATATATGTATAAAAAGAAAATCTTATAACAAAAAAAATCATAAACCAATAGGTAAGTTATTTTGTTTATCCTTTCAATATAACTTAAATAAATGTACAATTATTTGTATTAATTATTTATTGATCTTTTAGAAATGTATACAACTAATAAAGAAAACAATATTGGAGAGAAATATTATGAAGAATCTTCAAATAATAATAATGTATTTGAATCATCGAATACAAATGTACATATGTATACTTCCAATATACAGCAAAAATATTCCCAAAAAGGTACTTTTGTTTGTTTCATTATTATGTTTCATTATTATTTAGTAAAAATGTTGAGAATATTTTAATAATATATATATATTATATATATATATATATATATATATATATATATATATATATATATAGAATGAGCCGATTTCTTATTTCTAATATTTATAATTTTAAATATTTAATATTTTCTCTAATATTTTAATAATTTTTAATATTTTCTAATTCTTATTTTCATAAATTGCTTCATTTTTTAATTATTTTCCTTTGAAGATTATCGTAGTGCTTTATAATTAATTTGAAATGTAGAAACGTACAAAACTATTTTCATTGATACTTTAGAACATTACATTACATCAAATTTATTACATTAGATCAAAAAATGAACTGACTATTACACGTAATTGTATTACTAACATATATATTAATATTTAATTTGCAACAAATTATTTTATGCACAGATGTAAATATGCATAGATATGCAAGTGCAAATAAGCAAATTGATAATGGTATTTGCAGCACAAGTGCTGATAAACAGACTGATAATGCAAATTTTTGTACATGCTGCCCTACACATAAAAATTATGATATGTATTATAATGCATTAAACATCTTAAATGCTTTTAATACATTTTAATTAATTGCTTTTATACTGTAAAGTTGATAGTTTTAATTGTATTTATATTAAAATTTGTTTTATTCTTTTTAGATGAAAAATTCCGAAGAGTGTTTAAAGAATTATTTTTTCTCAGAGAAGTGACAAAAGAATGCTACGAAGATATAAAAATTACATTTTTGAGAAAAGAAGATACAAATACAATACATACAAATGAGTCTACATTTTTAAATAAATTCAATTTTCCTTTACGACGCTTAGACGAATTGAATGAAGTAGAAGAGTATCTTCAAGAACCAAATAATTTTTAATCCACTGTAAGTTATCTGTATTCTTCCTTTGATACAGGTTTTCATTGCTAATTACTAGCATAATTATTATTAATTACATATAATTTACATGTTTCTTAGGTAAGAGAACTTTCAAAAATGGGAGGAGCTACTCCATATGATTTTGTAAAACGATGATTGTCGATTCTTTTCTCAAATAGATTTGCTGAATAGTATAGCTGACAAGGTGCTAAAAAAAAACAAATATTTGGAAAACTATTTCTTGCAAATGTGTTGCAAGGTAAATTGCTATCTAAATATATTTAATTTACATTACACAACTTAATGTAGAAAAGATATTGGTTTTAAAGTATATAATCAATTATGCTATTTTTATAATATAGTTTTTCTAATATTGCAATAAGTTTGTTATGTCACTTCTCATAAATGTATAATTTGTATATTTGTATAAAAAATACACAAGTTGATCAAATAGCTAATTTTTACAAAGCGCATATGCATGTATTTTTTTACAGTTTATTACATTTTACTATGCAATACATATATAAATGTATATATATGCGTTTTGTGAAATACAGCTATTGTCAATTATGAGAAGTGACATAAAAAAATTTACTACAATGTTAAAAGAATTATACTTTTGATAAAAAATAATATTGATAATATTGATAATATTGATAATATTAATAATATTGATAATATTGATAATATTGATAATATTAATAATATTGATTATATATTTTGAAACCAATGTCTTTCTTATTTTTGATAAAACATATAAATACTAAATATTTTTCTAGAAACAAAAATAATACTATTAACTTAATCTAAATTTGTCTGAATATAGATTTATATTTATAAATTTTTACGTGTATTGTCAGTACTTTTTATATAATCATTTATATTTTAAATATATAATTATGTTTATATTATATTTTCTTTCTATCTAGAAAGTGCTTTATTATGTAAAGCGGCGAAAAATCGAAAAGAAGTTGAGGAAGCTATCAAAGCATGGCTAAGACGTGCAAAGGAAAGAGTAAACAAAGAAGAAAAATCGGATTCCTCATTGTAAACATGTTTGCATTTGTACATATAATTTGTGTTGAATTTTACTTTTTGTTCATTTCATGATATTTTTAAACATAACACAAAAATACGTGTTTGTAATTTGTATATTATTTTTCATAACTGTATGTATACTTTTTAAACTTGTCTATTATAGCATAAACTTTATTTTGAAAGACAAAGATTTAAAAAGACAAGTTTGTGTATATTGCTAAATCGATGAACATTACGTACATTTACGAATTTATTATACTTTTATTAAGTTCAATTCAACATTTTGTTTTCAAATTAATTATTATTTTATCAAAAAACAGTTATTATAGAAAAAAAAGTTCTAAGGAATTTTTTTTTCCAGTGAAATTACTTTTATTCAGTTTTTTGAGATTTTATTTTTGTAATCAAAGAAATTTTTAGAATTTTATTTTTAAACTTAAATTATCTTCTTTTCCTAAAAAATTTCTTTGATAATTGTTTGATTTTTTTATTAGTAATAAATGTGATATATCTAATAATTAATTCTCTTATAATCTGTATCCGTATTATTGTATGTATTTTGTAACTTTCTCTTTGCACACATAAACAAATTGTTTTCATTAATTTGCGTGCAATAAACTACAATGCATATATATATATATATATAATAATTGTATTGAAATTTGGCTTATATATAAATGTATACATACATAATAATTCTCTCATGACAAGAACTAGAATAGCATAAAAGCGTTAGATACGCGTTTAAACTTTCTCGAGCAACATGGCCAAACCAGCACGTCTTGCAATACCGGGATTGCCGGCTAATACTGGCGGCACGTGTATAATAAAAATCCCAAAACAAGAACCTTGTCGTAATAAACCTTGTTGTAATAAATTTTACAAGTAGAATTCCTTGAGCGAATGCACACGATGAAAGAACAGACTTTCTAAAATCACTCGAATTAACCTTTGCACAATACTGAAAATAAGCCGTTAGACTCACCCACGTTTACTCGTCTTGATCTTAACTGGCGCCATGGCATCATATAAACCAGAGAGAAACCTGAGAGCGACCACCAGCCTCGACGGGCACATTTCTCGATGCTTGACGCGCCGTCTGACAAAGTGGACGTGAACTATGTCCATTACGCTCGATAACGAAACATGGTTTGTGTCTATGATATGGGTTCATGTCCGAACTATTCAGAGATGGACAGTCGGATAAGAACCGATAATTCATCGTTCTGTCTTTGTCTCATCAATGACAGACCACGCGACTGCCACGCGACGAGCTTACGATTTTGCTTTCCCCTTTCTCTCGTCGCGCTTTTACGTTCTTCGTTATGATGTAATAACGAAATGATTTTCACATAATCCTAATTTTCTAAGGGTATTGGCAGACAAGTTTTCCAACTTTGTATGTTCTGTAACAAAAATACAACACATTATGAAAATTATGATTACATGCATATTTCAAGCTGACATATAGCAATTGGTACACCGAATGTTTGGTAAAAAAAAATTTTTTGTCAGGCGTGTTGGTTATAATCAATTCGATAAAGTGTTCATAATAGCGCGTAGCAGTGTAAGGCTGATGGCAGAGAACTAGATGTCTGTCGTAGTCGTGGACGTAAAGTAAGACAGAGAAAAACGTAAGTCGTACAAGGCCATTGTGACAATTTTTTCTCTGTCTTACTTTACGTCCACGACTACGACAGACATCTAGTTCTCTGCCATCAGCCTAAGTAAGATGACTGCTTGTCACGGCGCTGATCCGAGTTCGAATCTCCCATCTGTCGTTTTTTTTTTATTTTTATTTTATGAAATAATAAAATAACAAATAATATGTATTGAATTTGGGAGTAGAAAAGGCAAAAAAATTAATAAAATAATTACAATTATTGCACAAAAACATACCTGTATTGCGTATCCATGTATTGCATTTTGTATCCTTCTGCATTGGGAATAGCCGTTTCCCATGCGAAAATCTCCCATTCTTACATTCTTTGTATACGCATTTATCATAATAACTATCTACAGGGCACTGACTCGACATAGTGATTGTTTATTATAATGCAAAACAAAAAAATATAAAAATAAAATTAAAAAAACTTAAAAGTAGAAATAAAAGAGAAATATAACACGTGATAAAAAAATAAAAAGATTACACCAACACGATAAAAGCATACACGCACGTACACGCAGAAATATTTACAGATAATGTGTCGTGTTCTATAAAAGAAACGATAACACGTGTTTCAAAATACACAGATCTTACAGATCGTTAAAAAAATATATAAATTTAAAACAATAGAAGAGATCTGTTATGCACAGATAATGAAGCACCGCAAAATCGAACGTCACTTTTAAAGTTCGCTGATTGATTATTTCCAGCGTGTCGTCGCGCATTATTTGTTTCATAGCATCAAATAGCCGCGAAATCACGACAGTGAAACGTAATTCTTTTATATGTATATTAATAAAAGATTAAAGAATCTGTTTATTGTTAATGTAAAGTTATTTTGTATATCATCATACAAAGAATTATAGTTTCACAAACTGGTTTATCTATCTTTTTATTATTATTTTCAAAATTAAATATGATTACATAAAAAATGATTACATAAAATTAATCATCCGAATTATCGATCTCATCAAGACATGAGCCAGGATGATATTTATCATAAAAACATGAAAAACATAATGTAATACAATATCTAGCGCCGCATTGGATGCTGTATTGTGCCGTATATGTGTGAGCAATCTTATTGAAACTTTATTTTTTTACAAGAAAATTATTCACAGCATTCGATACACTAGATGTTGTATTACATTATGTTTTTCATGTCTAACACTGACACGCAAATGCATCAAAGCAAGATATCATTCGCATTGATATGTATATTTTTTAAATTAATTAATTATTTAAAAAATATATAAAATAAAATATTACTATAATAATATGAGAGTTGTAAGCATTTATGAAATACAGATATAATTATTTTAAATAGAAAGAAAAGGTTTTATTAAAAAACATTTTTAATAAATGTCTTTATAATAAATAAATAAATTTGTCTCTATGTATTGGGCGCCCGAAGTCGTCTCGAAATCCTATCCGAATTATGTAAAATGTAGCGCGTGAAAGATGAGACGGGGCCGACAAGGGATGGAAGGAGACATGAGCTTTACGATAGAAAATCACTGCCCGCCTCATGCCGCCGCGTGATTTGCCATCATTGGTGAGACAAAAGCAGAACGATAGATTATTATCGGCTCTTGTCTAACTCTCATGTCCATCTCATGTGAATAGTTCGGATATGAACCATAGCTCGGACATGAACCATAGCTCAGATACGAACCATGTATTATTATCGACTGTAATGGATGTAGTTGACGTCCACTTTGTCAGGCGGCGCATTAGGACAATGTGCCCGTTAAAGCGAGGTGGCCGCTCTCAGGTTTCTCTCTGATATAAACTCACGCTGCTTTTTTCGCACATTCGATCGTGCCAACTTTATAATCACAAAATGGTGCCAACTTTATTAATAGCTTTATTAAATAAACAAATGTTATGTAACATTAAAATAATATTTACATAACACTTGTTATATAACATGTTATATTAATGTTATTAATTTGTTATTATTTTAGTTTATGATAACTAATAAGGAACAAAACAATATAACATTTCTATAACATAATTATATTATATGTATAAAAAAATGTTATATAATTACAATATAAATACAGTATAACATTTGTTATATTACATGTTACTTCTATGTTATCTAGCGACTATATTCTGTGTTTGCTGGGCAATGACTCCTCCACAGATATAGTAAGATAGAGATAGAGGGTGCTTTCCAGCAAGCAACACAGGCGACACTGTGTCGCTACAGTGTCGATACAGGTGCTTTCCAACTACGACACAAGTCGACACAATCGTACACAGCAAAAATGCTGTGTTCGCCTGTGTCGTCGTTTTGTAGCACCCCAGTGAGTGCCAACATAACATTTCATATTTGGTATCATTAATTTTTTTAAGAATGGTATTGCGTGATATTGCGTGATAGAAGATAACCAAACTTTTATATTCGCTAAAAAGACGACTTAAAGACATCTAGACGTCTTTAAGATGACATAATGTTGTGTGGGAACGTTCTGAAAATTTAGATCTAGTGACAACTATTAAAAGTGACTGCCCTGCACTCTAGTGGCAAAATAAGAAAGCTAAAATCGTTCCAGCTACAAGTCGACACCAGTGTTCCGATTAGGGATTCCGTGCGCGCGCATATGCGATTCTGCGCATGCGCGACTTTTGAAATTACATTGTACTTTCACGGTCGCGCAAGTGCAGAGCCGCACATGCGCGCGCACGGAATCCCTAATCGGAACACTGGTCGACACTGTGTAACACTGTGTCACACAGTGTATCACTGTGTTACCATAGCTGGAAAGCACCCAGAGTGTGAGCTCGCGGGGGGGGGGAAGCCATTGCAGAAAGGGTAACGAGGTTAAGTGTGAGCACTTTTCATTGGCTATTAGCAGAGAGAAGCCTGAGAGGGGCCACGCTGCCATTTTTGAGGAAACGCTTTCCCTACGTCGTACACTAACGGTACGTACACTGCGCGACAACGATTCGTTCCAAGGCCCCTTTCTCGCGGGGCAAGGGGAGCGTAGAAGTGACCAATCAGCTGGCAGCGTGGCAGTGACTGATTGGTTAGAGGCTACGCTCCCCTTGCTCCGCGAGAAGGACCTCGGAACGAATCGTTGTCGCGGAGTGTACATCCATTTTACGGCGCCTGGGGACTACATGGCCACATCCATTTTTGGTGCCGATAAAACAGTAGATTTTAGTTCATGGCCGTGCTACATCCACAATTTATAGACCATAAATACGTCTCGCATATAGACGTAATTAATAATATACTTCGTTAGCGCGATTTCTCTTTTCCATTCAAGCATATATTACAAACATCAATATATGCTATTAATAAAATAAATTTATGTAATATACATTGTTTAGGATATTTTATTTTCGTGATAAGAAATAGAAAAGAGAGAGATAAAACTTATATAAAATTCAGTAAATTGAATTTTATTTGTTAAAAAACAGTCCTAGAAAAAAAATAATTACAGACCATTTATAATAATTTTAATAATTAACTTTAATTTTAATAATTAAAAAAATAACCAATTATAATAATTTTAAAATTAACAAGATTCTTGCAA